GAAGTGGTGTACACCAGCGGCCTCAAAGTCAAGCTGTTTTTGCATGGCCTGAACTTTGTAACTGGCAGCTTTCCAAAGTGCTCGTTTCCCAAGGCCTTCTCACAAGGTACTTTCAAAACTGGTTGATTATGCTTCCATTCCCTGTGCATGACGATTAAATGGCTCGCTTGGGAAGGCTCAAGATGCTCACTATTGATCACCTAGAACATATTTTTATCAATCAACATATCAAACCATGCAGCCGTGATCATAATTCTTTTGTGAGCATCATCAGCGATTTAACACTTCAACGACAATCAAATGGCGTCAGCAAGAACGGCGTGAAAAGTGCTTGAAAAACCCGTGATTTTGGTGTGAAGGTGAGTGAAAAAAAATGTGATTTTAGGGCAACTTGGAATGCGTGAGAATTGCAAGATTTCCTCATGCAACTGGCAGCCCATCCGCCCATAGCATTTCATAGCTGTCTATAGTGCCACACCCCCTATAACGGTAACGAAACATGTGGTTGAAGAGTCCCTTGCATATAGCCCCCTTGCTGAAGTGGAAAAGGAGGTCAATTGCAGGGTCCTTGCTGATTCTCTACAGAGCTATGAAAGTAATTTGGGTTAAAGTCAAGATGGCACTCGACATTAACACCGGCACTTTGTTCGAAAGTGTTCGATTCCCAAGTACTATGGAAGTTCAGGGTGGCGTCTCTTTTACGTGCCTAACCGCTTGCCACAAGCCTTCGGAATCTATTAGCCGTCCAGTCTGTTGAGAGTCGAGCCAATAAGGTTGGGTGTGAGAAAGTGCTTCTGGAATGCTGTATGCTCCTGAAAAATAAGATTTTGTTGTCCAAGAAAAAAACCTGCAAGCTTGCTGTGTGGTGCTCAGGTTGCGCACAATGCTGTGCCACTGTGCTAACAAACATTTTCCGTGGGCGCGACAAGCAGAGCTTCACGAGCTTTCCATTCTGTAGGGTGCACAGTTTGGTCACAGAGCGATGGACTTTTGTTTGGAAGCGGCAATATTCCATCGGCCAACGCGCACTTGTTTGAAGATTCACAAAATTAAAAAAGATTTTCATTTGGCAGGTTCCGGTTGGTCGGTCCCTCTTCTGGTTTTGCATTCAGTCTGTCTGTCGATAGGTTTGTCGGGTCGGGTGCGGCCGGTTACTCCGCCCCAATGAATGCTTTCCGCAGGCAAGTCAGAGCTTGGAAGGTTTAAGTTCCTTGCCAAAATTTGGACGCATGTCTTCAAAATCTGATCGAGGCAGGACCATCGTTCACCTGTTTCCCAAAATTATTGATGAATAATGATACCTGAATCCTAGATCCACTTGGAGGACACAAATGCTGCCGCAATTCATTGTGACGTTTTTTTCTGCCGCAATGCAGGGGGAAAAACGCAACACGAAATAAACACCGTGGCAGCACAAAAATGCCGCAAATCCGAACCATGGTTGTTGACAACATCCTGGCTAAAATAAGCGCAGCAACTAAACTTTCCGCAACATTCAGCTCTTCCTAGTCTCGCGGCTATGCCATGTCACCCTTAACACTTTGTTTACTTGGCTGCAAGGCAAAGAGGTGCAAATACAACGAGTTTGCAGTAAGTGGCAAAAAACAACGCCGGTGCCACGAGCGTGCAATTGTCAAAAGCTACCCCGCCAAAACACAGTCGAATCATTGAACCATTGCAGCATGCGACGATCATGCTGAGTTGCGCCGCAATTTCGCCAAAATACGCCGCAATTACGCCACAAGTAAGTGTTACTGTAGACATCCCTACCCTCTTAAAAATGAAATTTGAGGGGGGGAGTCGTACTGAAATTTCATTTCAAATTTCCGTTTTTGATCAACATTCCTCGTCATTCCATATCATTGGCAAACAGATGAAAATTAAATACTTGCGCTTAGCTCCGGTCAGACTGAAGCAGCACATGTGTAGGGGTGGCATCCCTCCAAAAATTGCGTTGCCATCATCATACTTGCGCTTAGCTCCTCCGGAGCTAAGCGCAAGTATTTTCTAACCAGTGCCCAAGGCTTGTCAAGAAATGTTACTTTAAAATTCCATTTGAGCAAGTGGATCACTATCCCAGGGTTTCCAAGCAAAAAAAAGTGGAATTCGACAGGTTGGTTTTGTCCCCCCCGCCCTCCCCCTCTATACGGGTAGGGATCTGTAGACGCTTTTGTGCAGAAAAAACGTCGGTCAGACTTGTTCGAAGTACTACCAGGTTGCATTGGATAAATGAGTCAACGTTGCTGACTAGGATGAAATGAGGCACTGAAAACAAGTGCTCCAGCTCCTTGCATCATTTTGTTTAGGGGCAACACAGAACGCCGCAGCAGAAACTCAAAAATGCCGCGAGTTTGAAATTACGCCGCAGGATGGAAAAGGATACGACTTTTAGCAAAAAGAGCTTCAAACGAGGATCTAGGATAGGATGATCCAGGCTTCGGAAAAGTGGGGCTGTAAAAGTTGTGTAAATGTCCGCACAGATGCTTGATGTTGATAGTGCTGAAGCAATCCGCTTTCCAGTGGCGCGAAAAGCGGTGACAGTGAGCCTGCGAAAAAACAAAACATTTTTTCCACTAGCACGAATGACAAAACGGCCACAGTGAAATGACAAAAGATAAGCCTCTGCTTTCCGCATTTCCAATATATTATATTTCCGTTGCTTGGAATGTCCCTTGGTCTGGGGATGTTTGAGCGTGAAGCGTGAAGTTCAAGATGGCGCTCTATGTCCCTCCATGTCGACCGAATGTCCGCAGAAGTGGCAGAGATCCGGTGCAGGCTGCTGCTACCTGGGTGTTCGCCCGGCTACAGCATGTCTCCCTTTTTCACAAGAGGGAGAAATGGCGGTGAACATCAGAATGGCTGGTAGTAGCGTGAATGGATGTCCGTCCATAGGTTTGGCTCCATTTGGAAATGAAGTGATCTATTGATTTCATCCCCTAATGATTCCACGGGTTCAAAATCCAGATGATCCACGTGAGAGATGTGGACTTTCCTTTCGTGACTTTCAGTCTGCAAGATGTTTGTTTCTGGACACCTCGTTCGATCACCAGAACCGCTGGTCTTTTGGTGGAAATCGGCACCCTGCTTCGCACAGCCTGCGAGGAAATGGGTTTCAATTTTTTAGTCCTTGCTGATCTGGTTGATGCAGCATCCAAGCCTTCAGTCTCTTCTTACCTTTAAACACAGGTACCGTCGAACTCGAAGTTGTTTTGGCCTTGCGCCAAACCAGGTGGAAATCATCACCGTCGGGGTGTTTATGCCTTGCACGCCAAGCAGATAGCATTTCAATGCAGGGTCTTGAGAGGTTTTCAATGGATTTGGGCGCAAATGACACTTTCATGTGTGTGGGGGTTCCCCCTATCTTGAGGATGGAGGGGAGGCTCCGCTGGCTGAAAGGCCCAGCTGGCTGAAATGTCCAGTTGGCAACATATAGATAGACATTATAAAATATTATAAAACCAAGCTGAACATGCCCCGTGGCACTTTGCAAGCTGTGGCATGCACATCGCATTGGAAGCAGAGCGTCACCAGCGCTCACTGCGCTTTAATGTTGCTGGATCATGCAGGAGCATGAAAACTTTGCTCAGTCCATGATACCCTAGCCAACTGGCGGAGTTGCAGGAGGAAAAAGATGCAGGAACGGACTACGGCCATATCCGGGGTGCCTTGTTTTGGGAGCTTTCGGGCTTGGGCGCTTATCAGTTTGCGCATGTTGAGGCTTGCACATTTTGGGAATACCAGCGCCAAGGATGCTCATATGTCCCATGTTTCTTGTTGGGGCTTAAGGAGGTTTCATGACCGGGCCAGGATGCCAAAAATTCCGTGGGTGGACAGCAAGTAAAGAGGCAGATAAGCTGGATTTTCGGACCTCGTGATAGAAACTGTGTATGAACGGACATTGTTCCATGCACTTTAAAGGGCTGCCGCCCCCCACCGACGACCCCAGCGCAATGAAGGGAACCTGTATTGAGTTGATCACAGGGAATCCTTGGCTACATCCTTTGAGTATGTACTTACGCAACGATGGTACCAGTGGGAAGGACATGGCCTTAACATGCATTAAAATAATCCCAAATCAGTGCAGTGTTCAGAGCCACACGTTCTAGGTGTGATCTCAATTCCTTTGCATTTGTTTGTTCAAACGTAACCGCGGTATTAACGCGTATGTATATATATATATCCTGTATCATCCAAAGGGCCTGAATTTCAGCCTGACCTCAAAAATCAGCCTGCGGCGGAAACTGAAAACTCAGGCGGAAAGTGATTTTATCCATATTTTGAGGTATTCTGATAAGATCCTGGTGGACGATCCAGGTCCAAAAGAAATGCTCTGTGGGTGATGTTCGCCGTTTTTTTATTCTATTTTTTTTTCGGGCGGAAACACCCACGAAACGGGCGAAAACACCCACGAAACAGGCGAAAACACCCGAAATGAGATTTTCATGTAAAACAGTAAATTTCTTTAACACTGTTATCAACAATATATCAAAAAAATATATAGTGTGAGCGGGCATCTTAACCAAACATCATCAAAATCACTAAAAAAACACAATCGGGCCAAAAAAAACACCCCAGGCGAAAAAAATCCATTGGGGCTAAAATTTTAGCCTGAACAGCTTCGGGCTGAAAAAGCGGCCTGCGGAAGGCCTAATTAGGTATATACGGTATATACACATACATCTAACAGTCTTGCACACAGAAATGCACAAGTTGTACCTAGTACGTGCCAATATATTGAATAAGATGATACAGTACCATGAACTGTAAATATATAAATTTAATGTACATGTTTTTGTATGATATAAGTTGTGTATAGTATAGTGTTATTTACAATACAGTACGCAAAATAAAGAAACACCCCCCCGAAAAAAAAGAAAAAAAAAACAGCATGTGTTTGGAACCACCTGGCCTAGGCCCTTCAAGGCGAGTGATGTAGTGCATGTAGGCAAGGTTATATACCCTTGCCCGGTCTACACCCAGCCAGCCTGCCTCTGCACCAGGATCTCGTTTCAAACTCATTCGCACGTTCGGAGCAATCGGCAGCTGCAAACTCTGCAACTTAACCTGCTGCATCCGATATCAGTGCCTCGACATGCAGACAGCCCACAAAGTAATTTCAATTGATTTTATTTGGGAATTGTTCATTCCCCACTTTTGACCAATATACTGTACACATTCCCTATCGTCTCCTTATGTGTTTTTTCCTTGTTCGTGCCGACGAAGTACGTGCCACTCAGTAACTGCGCCCCTGGACTTGCTGAAGATGGTTTCATTTTGCCCTAGTTTCACCGACCCCTTGGGGATCTACTGCGATGATTTTCCACCAATGGCCCCCTTCAAGCATCGCCGAGGAGACACAGCTGCGCCTTGGTGCTGAGAACGGGCACATTCGTGAGATCTCGGTGGAACCCACGGCACATTGGGAGGCCAAGGAGGCGAGAAATGCGTTCGAACAATGTCATGGTCGTTGTGGGCAAAAACCTGAGAATGTTATGGAAATTCCATGACGCTGGGAAACCATGTTTTTTTTGTTTTATGGAGTTTCCAAGTTTGTGGAATGTAATGTTTTTAACAGTTGGGAAAATCCAAAAACCATGTTTTTCCCCCAGTGAATTATCCCCTTGGTTCATGAACTGACTCAATACGCAACAAGAATGTCGACCTTTGCTAGCTTACTGAGCCCAAACATTCAGAGGATGAACGTGTTCGTTCTGCAACTCTCGGTTTTAACAAAACAGCGGTCAACACAGATATAGATGAGTCCAAATTATCTAGTCCAAACCGCTTTGATTGATGGCTCCTTAGCCAACTTCCTCAAAACAGCAGCGGTCCTTTGTTTATGTGTTTTTCCTTCTCTATGCCTGAATACGTTTTTACATTGTGCTTCTGTTTTCCGCCATTATAACAGCAAACATCACAGCAATACAGAAACGGTCGTCGTCGTCATCATCATCAGCAGCAGCAGTATCAGCATCATCATCACCATCCATCACCGTCACCATCATCATCAGCAGCATCAGGATCAACATTATGATCATCATCACCATCATCCAAAACATGATCCTTCTCATGATCGCTCGTACCCACCAAGTCGATGCAGCTCCTGTGTTGAAACTAACAACCCATGTTGTATTCCATCCGAAAAGACCTGCAGGGTTTGGGAGCCGCAACGTACCTTTTCTTCCGGTCCCCCCGTGCAAGTTGACCTCTGCAGGCAGCCAACTTTACGGATTTGAAGATATACATGCCGAGCACCCGACAGATGAGTTTGAAACTTGGAGCTATGCGCAGTTTCGGGCAGGCACCTGGACAGCTAGGATTTCAGTGAAGGGTTAAACCGTTAAACCTTCAAGTGCAATCCGTTTCTGCTCAGCTACTTTGCCCTGCTTGCTCGACACCTTCAGTTGTGTAAGATGCGTTCAACTCTCAGCCACTGCCGAGGAAATGGCGCATTGTTCCCAGAGGAAGCTACGTCGCAGATGAACCAGGATTTCTGGGGATCAGCTGCCAGCATGTAAAGTCCAAGTCTGTTGACTTTTCAGCTAACAACTGCCATCCTGAGTGTGGAAAGAGGATGAACTCGAACGCACAGCGCTTGTTAGGTCTTCAATTGAGCCCTAGGGACCGCAAGAAATGACTACAGTATACAATATGATACAGTTATTTTACAATTTAAGTATCACCAGATGTAACCAATGTTTTTGGTTCCATAGCAGTTGGCCTGTCAACCGGCACCATTGGCCAGGCGCAGAATCTTCTCCAGAGACCCAAGTTGAAGCCAGTGTGGTCCACGATATGCTTCATTCGGTGGATGAAAGCATCCTGCACACTTTGCACAGCTTCAAATATGTCTTAGACTCCGACACTTTGGACAAGTCATCAGTCGCTGTTGTTGATTTGATGTTGCAAAGCGTTTTTGCTTTGGCAGTGTCCCTGAGGTTGTTGATGGTTTGAGGCTTTTTGAGTGCGTTCACAATATCTTCGTTAGATGGTTCGTTTTATCACCATCCTTTGCGTTTTGACAGTTAAAAGTTGAATTGGTCAGATCCCCGTTTTGTCAATGTTTTCTTGTACTTGGGCTGAATGTCCCCAGTCGTTGATGGTCAAATCCACCATGTTTGCACAGGAACAATCCTTAAACAAGATCGAGATCCACTTCCCCGGCCGCGAGCGCATCACCAGTGTGGTGGCGCAGGGGATGACTAACTGGAAGTCAATGCCACGGAGTGCCAATGCAACTGCCAAGAGTGGAAGCGTCCTGCAGGTGTGACGGGGGAGGGATTTCTGTGCTGTTGATAGATTGGAATATGTCTTCAATATGCGTTTAGCAATGATTTCGGGCATCATTATTTCGAATTCATTCGCTAGTCATGTTTTGGTTGGTTTCATGAGCATTCTGCTGCTGTTTATAGATTTAAAGTATATTTGAACATTGTTGATACTGCAAATGCTATTTGGATTACAGTCGGATATTGATACTGATAATATTAGTATATGTTTGTCGTTGGAGTACTGATATATGTTTGGTCGTTGTTATGATTGTACACCGCTGATGCGAGAAATGCCATTAATATTAGCAATAATCGTTCAAAACAACTAATAGTTGATTCATGCTGATTAATGTAATTAATAATGACCCAATTATGATCATGCTTATTATCTATTATTATCATTAATCACAATGAATACCCATGAATACCCATTCATGGTTGCTTGTCTCTGTGCCAGTCGGCTCCTTTTTTTTAGAGGTGGCCTTCAAGAGCTCTGCCATCTCCAAGGCGCGTGGCCTTCCCACCGCGGATTAAGTGGCTCTTTAGTGTGACAAGATTTGGCTGAAACATTGGATGGTTGATCATCACTGGTTTTTGCGTTTCTATATGTTCGCAGTTTTTTAATTTCTATATTCTGGCTACACCATCATGTTCAATTCAGTTTTTGTCCTGGCTCGATTGGAATTTCTTCTGTATCCCCCATGGCCAGATTACCACGGAACATAATTCGAACATATGATGATGAACCATCGATTTTGCCCTAAACATTTTTTTTGGGGAATACACCAAAAGTTGTGGGACATACATGGGGCATCACTCCACTTACTGGTTAATGACCCTGGTTTGTAATCCCCTAAGTAGTGGGTTAATACATCTATAAGCAGGTTGGGTTAGTCATTAAACTTACTAAATAGTGATTAAAGAACGGGCTAGGTTAGTCATCAAAAATCTGTGAAAATACCTGGATTAAACCATTTCACTATTCATCCCTCCCTAGACTCGGAGCAGGAAGTGGTAATTCTGGTGACCACTGAGCTCAGTACCCAGCACAAGAAGCGGCTGCAGCTTCCCACAGCGCACTGCCAACGGGTGCTGCGCCAGCGGCTCGCTGCAGTGGTGCGGGTTTGGGCCTTGGGAAATGGGGGATGTAACACGGTGTAACCATGTTCAACCATTGAAAATGGCGAGTGATGCAGATTTGAACCATTTCAAAGATGCGGATTAAATGGGAATGAAGCTGATTTGACCTGCGGCAAATTCGGGATTTTGGCATTAAAATTTGGATACTGACCCAGACATGGGTGATCTTTTCTGCCCTTAAATGATGGGGAGCATGAGGTTTGAGAACTTGTTTCAGCCATCGGATTTTTGGAGTACCATTTTTCTGTTGAATCATGGCCTGATCATCTGGAAAAGCATTAGTTTTGTTTAGTTTTATGAGCTCTTTGGACCTTTATATCAATTGTCGTTAAGGCATGTTAAGGCCGGGTTTTCCCACGGTTCTTAGAACTGGTTGAATCTCATAGTTCGGAGGAAATAATTGTGCTTTCATTCAACTGATGTTGACGTTTCCCTTAAAAACCAACAGGGTTTCCCAGGATTTGCCATGGCTTTTCCATGGCTTTGGGACATCACCGAGGTCTGGCACCATCGCCGTGGTGAAGTTGGCCAACATCGAGCTGCACCAGGAGGCGGCCGTGGGTGCGGCGCGCTTGGGCATCGACCAGGCGGGCGGGGAAAATCCGGGAGGTCAAGAATTAGGGGACTAGTATTGGATAATATACCGTTTTTTTGGTGGGACGTAGTAATGGAAGATATATAATATATAGCAATACAATGGGATATTTATATATATATATATATATATTATAATGGGATATGGAGATATTTTCCAATCCGTTAGTGATGGATTTTAGGGATATAATGAACTTTAATTTACGCGAAATTTATATATACATATATATATAACACACGCACATATAGATATTTATTTACAGCGGTATAGGGATGTTACTAACCCAAAATTGAGATTATCCAACAAAATTGCAGCTTAAGGCTTAACCAGCAGACACGGTAATTTCATGAGATATGATGGGATAATGTCTAATACAAGGTGGTGCCCGGCCCTATAGTTAGCCAGGTTGGTCTATAACTCCTATAACTTGGGTTTATGGTGTACATACATATAATATATATATATATGCATAGTTAATAGTGGTTGTCATTTACCAAGTTTTAACTGAGGGGCACCACCTTGTACATATTCACTGCGGGGGAGTATTCTACTAATGTCAGCAAATAATAGTTGGTAAACCACCACTAAAGTTGGTATTATAAATTATAAACTCAGCCAGACCTATGACTAGGAGATTATGGGTATAATTATTCAACAATGGCAAATTTGGTGAGATCACGCCTTGCAGTCCAGTAGGATATGATTGCAGTAAGTTCATAAGTTTTACGTAACCATTATTATTACCGAAAAGTGCTCAGGTGTTTCAATCTATGAAATATCATGGTCTAGTTGTACGTTTTCACAATCGTCATCATGACCATTACAATCACGATAAAACTAGTAACTAGTAATATGTAGACTTCACCCCACGTGGACTTGTAGAGTAGGTAGGGGCAATGTTCAGTCGCAATTGGGTAATAAACCACTTACTAAGTGGGCTTAGAGCAAGTAGAATGTAACGGTTATAAGTGTGCCAAGTTTAGCCAGATATAGATTGCTATACTCCAGTACATGTGGTAAAACTTTTCATGGAACCACAAGGATAAATAAGTGGGTATATGTTATCTTTAAAATGATATACCTTACCAGAATATAAATGGTATAATCGGGATATCATGCTAGTTTCTTCGGTGGGGTCTGTAGTATGTTGATATCTTTGGGCAAGCGTGTACGCAGAAATATGGTGATATAACCAACCAATTTGAATATCATGTTTAATAGCGGGATAGGGAAATAAGTGGGATGTAAGTATGAGGATATCAGTCAGGGAATTTCAACCGGGGATGGTACAAGTAACCCTTTCCCCCCTCATCCTTGTATGAAATTCTTCCCTAGACCCCCAGGTGTAGCATTGGATCGATTTATTTATTTTGGTGTTCCAAAAAGTGGTGGTAATTAATCCGATCAATGGGCTGTATATCCTCATTTCAGGACGCTTAGACCACGCAAGACCCCTATTTTTGATTTTTGATGATTGACCTTCATTTTTTTGATAAAAATGAGCATAGTCTTGCCGCTGTTCGAGCACGTGACACGGGGTACAGCCAACAAGTTGCGGGCATTCCATAAAACCGGTGTCTAGTGTGTTCTGCTGGATGCGTGTACCTTATCCAGTCTTGTCTTTAGTAATCAGCCGTTTTATACAATGTAATCGACAAACCAAAAATAAACACACTCACACTCTTTTGTAGATACACTCCAGCAGGGATGAGTTGAACATACTCGGGAACTGGCAACTTCAACAGCCTCCTGCCAAATCCCGCCTAGTAAGGTGCCATTGCACATGAGCAGCAAGGCAGGAAAACCGATAATCCTAGTGCCTTGTCAGAGCTGGAACCATCCCCAAATGACAGAGCGATGGTTTGACTCAAAAAATGATTGGCCCCCAGCCATTGTAGCAATGGCTCAATGCTACCCATTGCTGAACCGTGCCAGACTAATAATGGATATTGGATGGAATGGCGCTATTTAAAATGCAGAGTTTGGACTGTACTTCATGGAAATGAACCACCCCGCATTCTGAGTCAAAGCCTTCCTGGATCTTTCGCACTTCTTAAATCCATGGATTCAAGATGTCTGAAAGGGTTGTAGTCATACCGGGAACCTGGTATCAAGCAATGAATGGATGTGTAGGTGAACCTTCCGTCACCATTTTTCATAACACGTAGTCTCCCGACAGTATCTGAAAATGCCAGTTTGTTGCAGAAGTGATACATGCCTATAGGGAAGGTCCAATTGTGAATTTGGAGCGGCCTAAAACCATTCCAGCTTTGTAATTCTTGTTTTCAGTTTTGCCATTGACACTCACCGATTTTGCACCGGCACAGCCCAAGGCATACAAGTTCATGGCGCCTACTCACACCGTCGACTTGTCAGCTACTTGCCATCCACCTTGAGGGGGTCCTTGCATCGTGTCCTTCGCGCATCACCCTGCAGTGAGTCAGTGGGTTAAAACCCATGATACCAGATTTTGGGAGGATGAACAACCATACACCCAAGTTATTTTGCTGTTCACCAGGGGATTCCATGGGTTTGGACACAGGTCATCCACCACGAGGAAATGAACACCTTGGAGTCTGTCGTTGATGCTGCGCTGTACAAAGTTCTAGTGGTCCCGGGCCTAGCTCTCCCTGGTGCTGGAAGCCGTAGAAGTTAGGCAAAGGGCGCCCCCATAGTCCCACTGGAAGTTCTATTCATAGCCTTAATGTCACTATCGTAGCCTGTTCAATACATAATTGCTGGGTACACTAGATAGTCCAATTATTAGCAATTTATTGCAGAATTACAGATATGTGTAAATCATGTTCCTATTATTGTTTTTTGCACCTGTCGGGTGTTGTCCATTGCCAGCTTCATCAGCCTCCAAGGTCGACGACCAGGTGATGCACAACCTCTTGCTGAATCTGCAAAACACACAACGTCAATACATGGCCGTACAAGGAGCAATGCTGGGTGATGGTGATCTCATGGGGCTTGATGGGGACATCATGGGGATAGTTCATGAGTTTAACTTCTCGGGAATAGGGTACCATAGGGTACCCTATTTTCAAAGAAACCAATTTGGGAGACCTATGGAGATCTAAAGTCAAGGTGACGGTAGATGATATGATGTCTCATATGATGTGTCTTTTGTTTATTGATGATTCTCGGCATGATGATCTAAAGCTGTGTCGTGGAACAGCACTGTCCTGCCCGAAGACATCTCTGTACCAAGCAGCAGTTTTTCAGCTTCTCTCCTGGCAGGAATAGATCCAGACGCCACCATTTGGACGGCCAAAGTGAATAGCGTTTCCTCCAAGCTGGCGCTACGTGATGGACAGCTCTTAGTACCTCTGACCCTTGGACCTTGGATCAGTTGGAGGTGCCCCATAGAAGGGAATGTTTCAGTTGGTGAAGAGTTCGTCTGTTAAGATATAGTTAGATATACCTACTGGCAATTTATTTTTGGGTGAATTTGACTATATAAGGTACATGGTTACATGTAGTTGAGATTTCACTGTTGGGTCTATGATAGATACACTTAATGGGGTTAAAGCAAAATATAACTGGGGGGCACCACATTGGAGCAACCATAGTTATTCTCACTGGATTGGATACTGTAACCTCATGCAACTGTTGTTGTCTGAGTGTGCTATGAAGATCCTTCTTCCATTCTCTTTCTTGATCAAGAAAACACCCAACGGCTCGCACTATTTCGGGTGTCTCAAAAATTGAACCTCCATTGTCCAGGTTTTCCATGAGCTTTCCATCATACTTCCCATGATTTTCCAATATTTTCCGAGATATTTCCCCATTGTTTCTGGAAAAATTCCATCAAAAAATGATATTTCCCATGATTTTCCAATACTTTCCCATGATTTTCCAAGATATTTCCATCATCCTTTCCCCTTCCGCACCAAGGCAAGTGGCCGGTGCCGGCTTCGAGTCCAAGTCCTCGGTGGAGATCGCCTGGGTCCAACCACTGCAGCTGGAGCGTGCGGGGATGGTGCAGCTGAAGCCACCCCGTTGCCCGGCCAGGAAATCATGGTATGCTCTTCAGTCAAGATCCATATTTATCTATTTAATACATATATATATAATATATGTGTGTGTACACATACAATTATATATGAATATATATACATATGTGTGCAAATTTTGAAGTTGCTCCATGATTTTTGATGGGCTTGACACCGGTTCAGTATGATTTTGGATGCAAGGCCACACCGTGGCGCTGAGGTTTGGATATGCCCATGGCAGCTTTGAGCATGGAGGCACCTCCTTGGGGCTTGCTGATCTATTGGGATCCCACTAAGCAATAAAGCAGTTGTTTCAAAGAACAACTTGGATTGGTGTTGCCCATATTGTCGTCAATTGTGTATGAAGTACATGGGGCTGACATAAGAACTTCCCAGCCCGCAACATCAACATGATTTGCAGTGACCCGTGGCCGTGGTCTGATTCTGTTGAGAAAAGTGAGGTGTGGTTCCCTGCCGACTATGAAGTGAACTTCACAACTTCCCTCCGCCAGGAGGGGATCCTTCAGGGAGAGCCTGGGGTAGAGGGGACCACCACAGAAAATCAGACTGGTGACAGCAATGATCGCGCATGTCAACAAAAGATCACACGTGTCGAAACGTCACATCCTAAAAAGCTATGAAATTCCGAAACGATCCAAAACAAGTTAAGTCATGTTAAGCCCAAAAAATCCTTGGAACAATACTTCCGCACTCCTTTTGCTTTGTCAGGTGGAGGCCTACTCACAACGCCAACCCAGTGCTGTGAATTATGAGACGGGCAAGGAGGTGGTGGACAAGGAGACGGTCCTGAACTGTCGAGGGTAGAAATGGATTGAGTGATGATTTACAGGGTATATTAACGGCTTAAGCTACTGTAAGTTTTTCATTGAACATAGGATCCAATCAAATCCAATCAATGAATTGATCTAAGGGAAACTTTATTGTACAGTCGCAGCCATGGTGTGTACCCCAAAATGTCGCGAAAAAAAACAACTTCATAGAACAAGACGTAAACCAAGCCTGGGACTTGTACATTTCGACTAACAAGTATGAGATTGAGCGCTTTGAGGATGGATAAATTGCCTGCTTGTTGCTTTTGGATCCCAGTTTCAGGGCATGCACACATCGCGGACGGTGAAGGCAGGCAACAAGCCTGTGTTGAGAAGTTTGAACAACAGGCGTATGGTTAGGGCATCGCCTTCCAAACTCCTTCTATATATCCTGTTCTATCCTTTGCTGTTGGTACATGAAAAGGGACTTCAAACTCAGTGGTTTGCAGGACTTTGACTTTGCCTCTGCACCAAGACCCAAGTGTGGAACCCAAGGATGAAGAGATGGGCAGAGATGGGGAATTCTGAAGAGTTGCCATTTGTGGTGTGGCTGCAAGGCGCAAAGATGCCGGTGTTCAAAGTAAGATGCCAAAGGCTGGGAGTCGTTGGCGCTTCGAACAGCTTCTGGTGGTGGATGGAAAGGCTGACTTGAAGATCGCAGCGATCTTAGAACGGAACTGATTGGAATTGGCTCAGACTTCAGACTTCAGTGACTTTAATGACTTCAGCTACATTGACCAATCATTATATCTTGATGTAGGATATTTGTGAGAGAAACACGTATTTCAATTCATGAGGCTCCTATGAGTACTGGTGGTTGATTTCCAAGCATAGAAGGCTAACAGTAAAAAAAAAAGCCGCAGAGCTGGCCTTTCGAAAACGCCGAAGCTGAGGCATACCAGAAGCCCGAGGCCGAAATGGAGGGCTGGCTGACCTACCTGAG